AAAAATTCTTAAAAAAATGTAAACCTCGGCATTTCTAAAAAGTGTTCCAATTAATACTGAAAATTTGAGAAATTTTTCAATTTTCAAAAAATTATTCTGAAAAAGTATATAAAAAAATTTGAAAAAAATGTTTACTAGAAATGTACATACATTTCGCATAACATTCATAAATCTTCGACTTTTGAATTTGCCAAGAAAACAAACGTATTTTCGCGAAGATTATTTTGTCGTCACCAAGTTTACTATTTATTTTCGGAACGCGTAGAGTACATTCTCGCGCATAAACGCGACACTAACGACATCTAGCTCGGACAGTCTCGATCAAGTCTTCTTGACGTCGAATGATTAGATTCGTCCTTTTCGCCTGCCTGTTGTTTCCGTCGTCGTTTCCCGTAAAATTGCCGCGATTGGCAGGGGAAGAGACGGAAATGTCAAGAATGCTCGCGGTGGATTTCGAAGTTTTCGGCATCGTGCAAGGTAACGAAACTCGTCCGGCGATTCTTCAATTATCATCGATTTTTCCTCGATTACTTTATTAATGAATTTATAATCTTATTTGTCGAAGGTGTCTTCTTCAGGAAGGTGAGTAAATCAGCGCATGTTTATCTGGAAATTAGACGATGATTATTTGAGGCTGCCGGAAATGTGATTGACACGATTGTGGCGATTCAAGCGAGAACCTTGAAGTTTCTGATTCACGACATCTATCGGGTGTCCGACATTAACCGATCTAAATGTTCGCGTTATCTACTGTAAACATGAACATACATCCTTCTTATCGATATATTTAATGCGATTATTTCTTTTACTATTCTTTTTTCCCTCTTTTTCGATGAACGAAATCTGAGATTTTAGCTCATCTTTATAAAAAATATATTAACACACTTATAAAAGATTTTCAAGCTTTACGAAATTAAAATTTCTTTATATAAAAAAATGTTTAAAAAATGTTATTAAAAATTAGCTGCTAAAAATAGACATGAAAACAATATAATTTTATTTATATATTTTAATAATTTATTTATATATTAATTTCTAATTAACAACAAAATTGAGACTTCGATTCTTTAATTCGTAGTATTTTTTTGCGATTTATAGATTGAAAAAAAAATACTGTTTGACGCAAATTCTAAAGCTTGAAACACACAATTGAAAAGCACAGACAATAGAAACAGGAAATAACAAATTTCAACCTATAATTTATGTAAGAAATTATGTATGTCAAAATATAGTTTCACTTAACTCACTTAAGCTAGAAACACTTAAAAACCAGGCTGTTAAAAGTTACTTTTTCGTTACTGTGTCGTTATTTTTTATAATAAACAATTTGATAATGACGTTGCAATTTTTTATGACGATAACGCTAACTAACCAATATGCTAAGGTTGTACTAAGGTTGGAAAAGTCACTTTGAAAAGTAACTGTCATTGTTACGCGTTACTCACTGAAAAAACTAAAAGTAACAAAGTAACAAAATAATAACTTTCAAATTTCGTTACTAGAAATTGTAACTTAATTACAATTACTGTTACTAAAAAAGGTAATTACGTAAAAAAAAAGTAACGAAAATGGTAACTTCGGTACTCTTTTTATGTAACTTATACAACCCTGATAAAAACATAAGGCAATAAGACTTAAGCAATAAGCGAATCGACCAATCGCATAAAGTACACTGAGAGAAAACGAAATAGTTGTAGCAACTATAAATTTAGCAACTTTTGCAATTAAAGTACCTGTAACTAGTTTTACAAAGTAATAGAAACTAAAGTAGTGCTAAATATTATAAAAATATAGTCACGATAACAAATTGTATATATTAATTGGTAGTGAAATAATGACTCAACTACATTGAGTAGTTACTTGGACTTCATGCAAATAGATATAACAATTACATTTTTCTAGTTTAGACAAAAATTTTTAAAGTGTCGCTCAGTACGAGTAGTACGCGGCTTTGTCACCAGAGGGACGTAGCGAAGTTCAGTTTCTCCTAAGAAGGAAACCACTCAGCTTACGATAAAAGGCGCAGCGTTGGTTTCAAACTTGGAAGACAAAAATAAATAAGAAATGCATACACAAATTTGTAACTATGTATTATAAAGCTTTAATAAGAACAATAAGTAAATTAAGTGAACTAAGAAAATATAGTGATATTAACCATTTATAAATTGATTATATGAACTGTGATTGGCCAATTCGCTCACTGCTTACGTCTTACTCCTTACGTTTTTTTAAGATGTTTCTGGCTTTTAAATGAACGTAAAATCAAAGTATAATACTGAAACTTACTTATTGCAATTACTTGCAATAAGAGAGAAAATTGTTAATCTCTGTTTATAAGAAGAACAAAGATATTCCGTCAAGACAAGACATTCCGTCTGAAATAAAATAATAAAACAATTTAACACAAAAGTTACTTTATAACACTTCTATAACACTTCTACTTTATAACACTTCTTAACACAAAACCGAGTTTCATCTGCTTTCGGAAATATCCTTTATCGTCGGAAAACTTAGGCATATTGTCTTGCTTGCGGGTAACAGTACACGCAGAAACGCGGCAAAGAGCTGGGTCTGAAGGGATGGTGCATGAACACCCCGAACGGTACCGTAGCTGGCCACATGGAAGGAACAAAGGCGCAGGTCGACGAGATGTAAGCCGCGGACGCCTCGTTGATACGAAAAAGTCATCGAAAATGCCAGATCGCTTCCTCTTTTTTTATTTCAGGAAACAATGGCTTCGCCACACCGGAAGCCCTCAGTCCCGGATCGATAAGGCGGAATTCCGTAACGAGAAGGAAATCTCGCAGCCGTCGTTCTCCAACTTTGAGATCCGAAAGTAGAAGCGTTCTCCAATTCTCGAGAACGAGGAATAATAATACACGCATTAACGTTTAAGTTTTAGAATTATTTAAGTCGCGTCTGATAATAAAGATATCCTATTTAAATAAATGTAAAATGTAGAAAAGTATTATATATATTAGTGTTTGTAATTCAAAACATTATATCCAAATTTTTTCACCTTTCTCCAAATGTCATCTATCATAGCATGAAATATTGGGAAATGAATTAAGAAATGTTTTTTAATATTGCAAGAAACAAAAAAGCTTTAGCAATAGAAATATTCTTAAAATATTTTCGTGAATTATTTTAAAATATTTTAATCCTATATATAATGTATTTTTTTAATATTTTAAAAATATTTCATGCTGCATGGGATCGAAAATGAAAATCTGCTGAAATATCGTGAATACTTTTATCGCATTCAGGAAATGCTTTTTATACTTTTGACATTTATATATATGGATGATTCACTCACTAGGTATTTACCTCGAAAAGTCATCGAGGAAAAAATTTTCAGGTAATTATCGCGAAAGAGACAATTTGTTTTTCATTGCTGCATTAGAACCTTTTTTTTCGCTTTCGGTAAATTTTAAACATATTTTATTTCACTTTAAATACAAAGTGTACATACCAGTTCAACTCTTTAAAAAATATAATAGATTTAATGGCTACGAGTAGCAAAATAAGTCAAAGCTTAATTAGCATCGATTAGATTATACTTTTAGAAAAATATAATTCCTGTTCCAGTGAAAAAGCTTTTAACAGTTGCAGAATAAACATTTTACTGAGTGATTAAAATTCAACTCTATTTTTTTCCAGAGCGTTTAATTCTTTAAATAAATTTTCCTTTATCGCGGAAAGATAGAGATCTTATCAGAAAATTGCAAGAACGTCCTTCGTGAAATGGTCGACTAATCGCCTCAATTTCTAAACTAAAATATTCTCCAATTACTGTCTAATAAAAGACACAAGAAAAAAATGTTTTTTACTGAAGTATTTAAAATTTTATATACAGAAAATTATTTTGTTATTGCAGAAAATTTTGACATTCCAGGAGGGGACAATCAATTTCAGTTTCCCAGAAAATTACTTTGATGATCCAACAAAATTATTTTTAGATCTGTAGATATGCAAAATGTTAAATTTTGCATATCTACAGATCTAAAAATAGATAGTTTTAGCAAAAATGTTTTTTCACTGAGAGAAATCGTTTTGTACGTACATCAAAATTTTGTTGATATGTGACTAACAAAAACGTCCGTACTTTTTTATTTAAAAATTGTATTTTCCTAATCAAAATTTAATTATTTTAAGCAAAATTTGATTAGGACAACTTTTAAATGAAAAAGTAAGGAAATTTTTGTTAGCCACATATCACAACAAGATTTTAGTTGTACATGATTTTTCTGTGTTCCGTGTGCTTTTACTAGACAATAGCTCGAGAAGATTTTATTTTAATAATTGAGCAAAATTTTAGATCTTTCCACTCTTGGAAAAATTCACTTTTATAGAAAACTTAAAAAAATACTTAAAATTTACTGTAGAGAAAATCTAAGAAATAGAGGTAAATTTGAACACTTTAAACTTTTCTTTAAAGTAATTTTAGAACTTCCTTAAAAAACAACTGAATAAAATTAACACGCTGTGCTAATTATATTAAAGTCATCCTTGACAAATCTTTACATACTATATTTTAAGTTATTTTTGGCTTAACTTTTTACACTCACTTTTATTATTAATTACCTCAAAATTTTTTAAGCAAACTCTTAATTACTTTTAAAACCTTTAACTTTGTTAAAAATAAATTTTCCCAAGGGCATGGTGAAAAGATCTTACCCAAATAACAAAAAGTGTCTAAAATCGGGTCGTAAAACGGTTTTTTGCGACTAAAAGACGACTTAAAGACGTCTTATGTCACAATTTTAGACTTTGTACTGTTTGGACAGATTTTAAATTTAGATTTTAGATTTTTTTTAATCTTAGATTTTAGATCTTTCACGATGGATCTTTTCATGCAGTGATGAGAAGAGGGTCGCTTCAGTCCGAATGTGGCCGCACCTTTGCGAGTACTCGCAGAGTGGGTATGACACGCGGAAGTGGAGGAGCGACTCGCACCAGCATCTCTCCGCGAGTTCCTCTCGTTAGTCGGCGATCGCGCGGCGAACGACACGGTTCTCGATCGTACATCTCGTGTGAATTTTCCTCCTTCTTTTCCTCTTTCCTTATTACGTCGAAGAATTACATCCTCTTCGGAACGCGAACACGAGCTCGCGAGGATGCGCCTGAATTCCTCATCCAGGAGTCTCGCACGTCTTCGTCGTCGTAATTCGATCCCAGCTTCGTGATCGATCTCGATCAGGTTACGACAGAAGAGGACGATAGAATTCGCGCCGCGAATAGTATTGGACGGGTAATTAATAATGCTATGATCGGCGGAGGAGAGACGGAAAGAGGTGTAGGAAAAACGATCAGCATGAGATGTTTCGAGAGCTTCTTCAAGCGCACCTGGCGACCGCAGCAGGTGCATCAGGTAATTAAAAACTAAACTTTATAGTTGTTTTCGCGTTATGACCCTGATCCGGCTTTATCACTTCAGAAATGTGTCGATCGACACGTCGGACCTATACTATTTTGATATTCTATTCGTGATTGCATCACCGAACGATGTATTGTATTGATACGTGCTATCAGGTACGATAGTCGCATACAGAAAGGACGGTTCTGCTAAAGTAAAAATTAGGCTAATATAAACTGCACTAAAAAAAGATATAGTCAATTTTAATAAATTTAGTTCAATACTGCCAACTAAACATTTACTTACAGTAAATAAATATTTGTTCAGTAAAAAGAATGATTGTTAAATCAAATTAATTGTTTTTTATATCAAATAAATATATCTTTATATTTAATAAATATTTAGTTGGCAGTATTCAATTAAATATTTATTAAAATTGACTATATTTTTTTTCAGTGTGAGAAAAAAAATTTGTTCAACGAACTAAACACATTTAGTTGTTTGCAGATTTGGTTTTTAATTCAACAAATTTTATTTAATCGAATTTAACCAAGTAGATTGTTATCTACTTAACAAGTGTTCAATATTAAGCAAATTACGGTTAAATTCAATTAAATAAAATTTGATGAATTAATCAAATCTGCAAACAACTAAATGTGTTTACTTAATTGAACAAATCTTTTTTCTCAGTGTAGATCTAAAAATAATCATGTTGGACTACTAAAATAATTATGTTGGAAGCATGATGAGATATACGATCCTGGACAAGACTTTGACATTCTGGCATTAAGCTGAGAGTCTAATAACACAGGACTACAAAAAGACATTTTTTTTACCCAGAAACGGCAGTATGTAATCCCAAAGGTTTTTGGCATGCTAAAACCAAATCCGTAGCCAAAATTGTTCCATCACACGCGTCAGGTTTCCGAGATATTCTAATCCAAAAGTTCCAAAAAGACCTATTATTTCGAATTGAATTTTTAGATTAAATTATCTTGTAAATCTGATGGAGTAATTTTGGCTATGGACTCGAATTCGACATGAAAAAATCTAAATAAATGGGTCAACACACACGGTGACATGAAAAAAAAATTAGATGTATTGCAAATATGTCCACCGGCCTCCAGACGATATGATCAATATATAGGTCAACTTTGCACACATTCACTAAATATTGACTACATTCAATATGAATAATTATAATTATTCATATTGACCATTATTGACCATCTGTCTGGAGACGCCTTAAGGCCATACTTGCAATATATCTAATTTTTTTTCATGTTACTGTGTTGACCCATTTATAATCATAGATGATTTTCGTAGATTTTCTCATGCCGAATTCGAATCCGTAATCAAAATTGCTCCATCACATCAGGTTTACGAGATATTTTAATCTAAAAATGCCCGAAATAAGCCTTTTTAGCACTTTTAGATTAGAATATCTCGGGACCTGACGTGATCGAGCAATTTTGACTACGAATTTGGTTTTAGCGTGCCAAAAACCTTCGAAATTACATACTGCCGTTTCTGGGTTAAAATTCATGTCGGCCTATGTAATTATTTAGATGATCCAACATAATTATTTTTAAATCTATATTTGACTAAATTTTTAGATACTTCAACCATATTTCTTCTGCGCGTTTATTAGATCAAATCCTTAATCCTATTCATATTATTATTATTGAGTTTTCATGCGTTGGTCCTATGAGATTTAATAATTTGTTTATTTACATCGCCTGAGAAAAAGACGCTGTCATACATATGCCAAATTTGCGAGGGATATTACTAAGACCTCGATAGTCTAACTGGTAAGGACACTCACACGAAATGTAAGAGATCCGGGTTTGACTCCCGGCCCAGGTAATATTTTTCGCAAATAATTAAATTTATTTACAGATTCTACTAGGTTAAGATCTCTCGAATAGATGTCTATTGAGCATCAAAATTTAATTTGTGATATTATTTCAGTAGTTTAGCTGCGTTTGTAAAAAGTCCGGAGAAATTTCGGCGCGTAGTGAATAATGCTACAAATATGGTATATATATGCAAGTACATATATAGTATATATATAATTCACATTCGAATTATTTAATAAGCAATTAAGATCTAGCTTCGACCGGCATTAGGCCTAATTCATATTATTACTATTGACTTAATCCTATTCTTTAACAAATAAATACGAATTAAAAAACGAATTAAATCGTTTATTTTTTTCAATTTACACTTTTATTTTTATTTTAATGTAAAATTTAATGTATTAATACTTTTTTAAAATATTTTATAATAATTTTATTTTATTATTCAATCTTCGATTGGTTCTGGACGACGATGTTTTAAATACGTATAAAACTTGTAAATGGAAACTGCTTCAGAAATAAAAAAAGAAGATTAACATTAACCAGCTCCTTCATAAGAATTTTATCACGAAATAGGTGTCCTCCTCCATTGTTAAAAGATAACAAAGTCATGTATTAAGTATTATTACATGCAAATTTACTAAAACGCGTAGACATTTCGCAAGAACGCCTAAACCACCGAAGCTTAGCACAACTTCCGTTATTTCTGAATACGTCACAATGACTATGATGCTTCCTACGTGAAAACAAGACTATTTTTGCATTTTTCATATTTTTTTTCCTTGGCTGTTGCTGTTGGTATTTTTATTCAAAAATATTCAAAAATTGTCCAAAATACATTTATAATAAAAAAGAAGAGAGATTTGCAATAATAACGATAAAATAACATTAATAACTTACAAGAGAACCGTCGGAGCCATCCCTTACCGATTTTGATGAACTTTGGATATGTTGTAAATAGAATGTACAGTATAAAAAAATATTAAACTCATATTTTTTTTATCAGCGTATTTCAAGGTTAGGTTTAGGGACTAAAACACCCCCTCGAAAAAATATATTAAAAAATGTTTAATACAAAAGTTTTTGTGCTCTATAATGGTGTATTCACTTTTTTTTAATATTAAATTTTTTAACTTTCCCCCACCCCCACTCATTAATTTTCACCCCCTAAACTTTGAGATACGCTGATAAAAAAATATAGGTCTAATATTTTTTTATACTCTACAATATCCAAAGCCCATCGAAATCGATGAGGGACGGCTTCGACGATTCTCTTGTTAGTGCCTTCTGCGTCAAAATGAGATTATTTTTGCATTTTCGTAATTTTTTCTTGGCTGTTGATGTTCTTATTAAAAATTTCAAAATATATTTTCCAATAAAAAAAGAATAGATTTGCAATAATAACAATAAAATATATTTCTAAATAATTTTCTGCAATTTTCGATCAAGTCGCTACATCCTTAAGATAATTTGAAATGTGGTCTACCTACAATTTAATCATCGCAATAAAAATTACAATGAAATCAATAACTGATAACCGATAAGAGACAACCGATTAGAGTTATCCCTCGTAATTAACAATGCAAACGTAGGGGAAGGCTATAATGATTGGCGCTGTATTAATAATTTAAGTGCGCTTCAATTTACATACTAAAATAATTATTTAATACGTTGTCACTATAAAATATAAAATCCACAAATTGAAAAACATTGAAAATATTCGTATAAAGATATTTCTTCATTTTTATACGAATGTTTCCAATATTTTTCTATTTGTGGTAGAAAATTATTCAAAAATATATTTTATTATTATTATTATTAATCTCTGTTCTTTTTTATTGAAAAACATTGGGAACATTCGTATAAAGATGAAAAAACATTTTTATACGATTGTTCCCAATGTTTTTCTATTTTTTTTAATTATTTTACAAATCTTGTATAATAATTTTGGGAAATATACAATCTATTTTATTCTTTGTTAATAAATAGCTAATTAATGTTTATTTTCTAAAATTATAAAGTTTTTTAAAAAATGTTCCTAATAAATACCTACTTTTTACACTCACCGTATATCGGAACACGGTTATTTATGGCTGGGGGGCA